ATGAATAATGTTTCTCTGATGATACATCTATGTATCCGAAATGGGATCCCTATCTTTCGACTCTAGAAAAACGTTAGCAAAACCCACTCAAACCCATCCATTCGTCGTGCGAATGACGTTAGTGCCAAATCAGGTTTTGCACGTGCAGTCGATCACGTAATCTTCGCATCGAAGTTTTCTTCATATGTACGTGTTTGCATTGGCCTCAAGAATTGAAAAAACACGTTTAAACCGCAGTTCTAACGGTACTTGAAATGCCACGATTGTCAAATGTGCAACGTGAACGTGCCGTTGGCATGTTGCAAGCGGGAAGATCAGTTATTGACGTCGCAAGAGCAATGGGATGCAGCCGTCGTACTGTGTATGACTTGCGAGGTCGTCTACAACAAACTGGCACCACTTCTGATCGCCCAAGGTCGGGTCGTCCACGTGTGACGTCACGAGCAGAAGACCGTCAAATCGTCCTACGTCACCTACGTGACAGATTTCTGCCGGCTACGCGAACCAGGGTTGAGATGTTTAGAGGTCGACTGTCCTCACAGACCATTCGAAATCGGTTGCGAGCTGCCAATCTCAATTCTCGACGTCCATACAGTGGGCCAATATTGACGCCGTTTCATCAACGTCAACGTCTGCTGTGGGCCCAACGTCACCTCCGATGGACCCAGAGAGACTGGAATCGAGTCGTCTTTAGCGATGAATCCAGGTTTACCCTCAGATTCGCGGACGGCAGGCATAGAGTCTGGAGACGACGTCGTGAACGGTATGCCCAATGTTGTGTACAGGAAGTCGACAGATTCGGGGGCGGAAGTTGCATGGTGTGGGGTGCTTTCTGTGGGAACAACCGTTCCCAACTTCTGGTCATCCGTGGAAACCTCACAGCTGCTGCTTACCGCGACCAGGTGCTCACCCCTGAACTCGTTCCTTTCATGGCGGCTCATATGCATGGCCCAGGTCTACAGTTCCAGCATGATAATGCTCGGCCGCATACCGCGATGTTGACACGACATTTCCTTCAAAACGCTGGAATCAACGTCATGGACTGGCCATCGAGGTCCCCTGACCTTAATCCAATAGAGCACGTTTGGGATGCACTTGGGAGAAGGCTTCGTGGTCTTAGGAACCAACCTCAGAATTTGCAGGAACTTGGCGCTGCCTTGCAAGAGCAATGGCGCAGAATCCCCCACCACGTGTTCACAAGCATCAGGCAGTCGATGAGGAGACGGTGTTTGGCAGTGGTGAATGCGCGGGGCGGCCATACACGATATTGAACTGAGAAATTTCGCATTTTTTATTCTTGTGACTTGACATTCTGTATACCCATGTTTTGGAACGGCGGTGTAGCCTAATGGAACTGATTATGGCACTGTCAGTGTATCGAGTACATCACACAGATCTCAGCAATGAAATAATAACAATTTAACCATCTTACCATCTCTTGTTCTTTTATAGTGCCCTGAAGAAAGAATGTGAAGTTTCTTTTTTGACTCAGTATATTTAAATAAAATATTGTGCATACATCTCACTTTTCCTGCGACCGTTTAAACCACTGGGCTACCCCACCGCCCCTGTTTGGCACGAGCAACATGTATTAAATTGAAGTAAAAGTAACTTCAAATGAATTTCAATGAGGTGCGTAGTCCGTCATAATCTGACCTCAGGTCATCACCATGGAGTAGCCAATGACGTACATGGAAATCGATCTCACACATGTGTTTCATTCCAGATTTCTCACTTGCGTTTCTTACCAAAGAGTGTGTGTAAGAAACTGTTTTCTTGCTCTAAACTATATTTGCTCACTCAACAACCCGACGTTACGAGCGAACGCTTTAACCGCTAAGCTACCCAACCGCCCCTTGTGCAGATAATAGTGACACAGATGTGTATCATGCTGCAACATATGCTTGTGTTCTGTCTGCATCATACTGTATCAGAGTAGAGTACGCTCTTCATTTACACAAAAAAAAATGGTTTGTTTGTTTTGTTTGTTTGCTGTATGGCTGCAGTCAGTAAATAACATGGAACAGACAATCCAGTGATTGACATCATGAGCATCCATCTGCGATACGATGACATGCAGAAGCATCAACCAAGTGAACGAGTCTGACCACCCGATGCCGTTAGTCTCCTCTTTCAGCAAGTATGGGACCCGTGAAGATGCGGGTCTTCAGTTATCCATGCTTGTCGTAAGAGGCGACTAACGGGATCTCAAGGCCGAATAGGAGTCCCCACATGGGTACAATGAGTGAAGCCCATTTCTGGTGTCCCCCGCCGTGATATTGCTGGAATATTGCTAAAAATGGCGTAAAACTAATACTCACTCACTCACCCAATGCCGAAAGCTTTGAATACAAAATGCCATTAAGAAAGTGGTCAAATGTATATTTGGGATTCCGCTTTATAAGTAAAGTAAAGATTCTAGTACCTTTGCTGGGTTGAGTCCCATCCTGGATTCGAACCCACACTCTCAGAGTCAGGCACCTAGTCACCAGCAACAAACTGATTTTTAAAATTTTTGTTGAACGTATTTTGCCATTTACAAAAGTAACCGAAACGGTGGTAAAATCTTTGCATAATCAAGTTTCGCAAATATGGTTTCGTGGATCAGTGGTTGAAGTGATTTCCTGACAAATGCAAGCACATATTTATCCCAAGCATATAATGTTCGCTCGTCTCACCGTAGACCCGGGTTCGATCCCCACTTGGTTACATTACTGGTGTCTCTGCTCTGAATATTGATGAAAAGGCGTAAAACCATAAGATGGAGAACAAAACTCAGAGATTGATGAGGTGGAAAGAGTATACTCCTGTATCAAGCACGTGAGGTGAGGTGAGTTGAGGTGAAATTGGGTTTAACGTCGTACTTGAGAATATGAAGCTCATATGACGACGTGCATGCATGTGTATGTGTATGTGCGGCTGCTTGTACTAGCCCAGACTGAAGCTGGTTTTATAGTGCTAGCTCACTGAGATACCATGCCACAGTGAAGCATGAATACCCCACTCAGACACATTATACTGATTCCGAGCCCACCAGTCCTTGTTGTACCCATTAATGCCGAGCTCCAGGCAGGGACTAACAAGTACCATATTTTAATGTCTTTTGGTATGACGCGGTCGGGGATCGAACCCGCGACCTTCCGCTCTCCGGGCGGACGCTCTAACCACTATACCTAGGAGGTTTGTATCAAGCATGTGAGAGGGCACGATAAGATGGCGGATTCACTTTATAGAATGAGATGATCGGAGGAGTACACACAGGCAGTTTTGCATCTTAATTGCAGGTAACAAGTATGTTGCTGCAAAAGTGTGAGTGAGTGAGTTTAGTTTTACGCCGCACTCAGCAATATTCCAGCTATGGCGGCGGTCTGTAAATAATCGAGTCTGGACCAGACAATCCAGTGATCAACAGCATGGGCATCGATCTGCGCAATTGGGAACCGATGACATGTGTCAACCAAGTCAGCGAGCCTGACCGCCCGATCCCGTTAGTCGCCTCTTACGACAAGCATAGTCGCTTTTTGTGGCAATCATGGGTTGCTGAAGACCTACTCACCCCGGATCTTCACGAGTTGCAATAGCAATAGTGTGGGTTACATATACCGTTATGCTATGTAACAACTTTTATTGCCCTTTCCTTATTTCCCACTGATTTATGCAAGAATACATTTATTCAATACAATGTTCGACCCGTGAAGATCCGGGTTAGAATTGGTCTTCAACAACCCATGCTTTTCGTAAGAGGCGACTAATGGGATCGGGTGGTTGGAGACGTGTCGTCGTATCCCACTTGCGTAGATCGATGCCTATGCTGTTGATCACTGGATTGGCTGGTCCAGACTCGATTATTTAGAGATATATATTTATATGTTTACATATGGCTGGAATAACGCGGAGTGCGGCGTTAAACAACAACCAAACATCAAATGTTCCCTGCCAAAGAATCCCATATGTATAATATATTTTATATATATTGTGTTGTTTGTTGACTCGAACGCGTACCGGCGAAAGTTATGTGAGGAAAATGACAAGCCAATGTGACAAATCTGTGAAGTACCACGGTCAACGAATCTTTCAAGAACGATTTCCTTTAATGTGTTTGTGTTTATCCTGTAATTGTTTTTAGTCATACTGTACCATAATTAGGATGATAACAATAGCATGAGCAATATATAGGAAAGTTTGGAACACAGTTGCAAACATGGTCCACGAGAGTCGATTATCGTGCGTATACGGAATAACACGGGTTAGAAACTGTGTACTGTGTTGTCGTGTAAGGGAGTTAACTCTGCCAAGCTTCTTTTCGTTGCTGGCAGGACTGTTCAAAGAGTGGTGAGGATATCCATCGCTTCTTACAAAATTCCAGCAATATCACGGCGGGGGACACCCGAAATGGGCTTCACATATTTTACCCATGTGGAGAAGAGAGGCCGGGTCTCAGGCGTGACGAACGAACGCTTTAAGCACCAGGCTAAAGAAAGGGAGTGGTGGCGACTCTCGGTTCTTGGTAAAATAGTATAGAAAACAGAAAAGACGTCGATTTGTAATAAATAGTGACGCTTTGCCTGTAGGCGTCGGAAACGTTTTGCAGAAGAGCGTGGGAAAGGTGCATTCCAGAATCCGATGTTCGAATCCTAACTTTTAATCTGATTAGGGACCGTTCATAATTTATGGCTAGGGGTTGGGGGTAGGGGGTGGTGGTGATGATGATGATTTTAAGGGGGTCACCCATTTTGTTCTGGGGAGCTAGGGGGTCAGCAATTTCGTACACACGTATTAGGTGGGGTCAGGAATTTTGTACATAAAAGTATGTTTTAAATTATGTTTAGAAATTATGGGAAGGGGAGGGGGGTCATTGATTTTGTACATGACATGCAGGGGGTCACTTACTTTGTACATACGTTTTGGGGGTCATTCACATTGTACATGCTTCTCCACAAAATCATCATCATCCCACCCCACCCCACCCCACCCCACCCCACCCACCCTAGCCATAAATCATGAACGGTCCGTTATGTTTCTTGGACTGTGAGCATGTACCCGTGCTCACTCGTATCATCGGAATTGAAGGTACCCGAGATCTACATCCCTTCCGGAATTCCTCTCACATCTTCCATCTGGCAGGCCTTGAACTCAAATGCTGTTCTAGTTAAACCAAACTAACTTGTTGCCGAATTTAAGAATATAAATACGGAGGGTATATATTTAATTCTATACCATGGCACCCAAACGTTCTCCCTTTCTCATACATCGCCACTATTTCCGACCTCAGGCTAACAGATCTGATCCTCAACGTTCACATGACCCTTAACCCTCTCTTTCCGAGACTTCACCCCCACCCCTCACCACCTACCTTCTCACCATCCCTACTTTCTACCTCATCACCTTACTTACCCCCACCCCTCACCATCTCAACTTACTCCCACCCCTCATCACCCCCTACTACCCCACCCCTCATCACCCTACTTTACCCCCACCTCCCTCACCATCCCTACTTATCCCACCCCCTCACTTTCACTCCCTACTTTCCCCACCCTCACCATCCCCTCTACCCCCACCCCCACCACCACCCCTTACTACTCCCACCCCTCACCACCCCTACCCTCCCCACCCCCTCACCATCCCTACTTACCCCCACCCCTCATCACCCCCCTACTTACTCCCACCCCTCATCACTCCTACTTACCCTGTCCCTCATCACCTCCCTACTTACCCCCACCCCTCATCACCCCCTACTTACCCAACTCCCTCATCACCCCTACACCTCCCCCAAGCCCTCTCATCACCCCTACTTACCCCACCCCTCATCACCCCTACTTACCCCCAACCCCTCATCACCCCTACTTACCCCCACCCCCTCATCAACCCTACTTAACTGCCCCCCTCACCATCCCTACTTACCCCACCCCCTCATCACCCTACTTACTCCCCACCCCTCACCCATCCCTACTTACCCCACCCCTCATCACCACCCTACTTACCCCACCCCTCATCACCCTACTTGGCACCCCACCCCCCTCACTACCCCTACTTTCCCCACCCCCTCACCATCCCTACTTACCCCCACCCCTCACCACCCCTACTTCTAACCCCCACCCCCTCATCACCCCTACTTACCCCCACCCCCTCACCATCCCTACTTCACCCCCACCCCCCATCACCCCTACTTACCCCACCCCTCATCACCCTACTTCTTACCCCCACCCCTCATCCACCCCTACTACCCCCACCCCCATCACCCTACTTCTACCCCACCCCCTCATCACCCCTCTACTTACCCCAAGCCCTCATCACCCCTACTACTACTTCCCATCCCCTAACCATCCCTACTTACCCCAACCCCCCATCACCCCTACTTCACCCAACTCCCTCATCACCCTCTACTTACCCCCACCCCCTCATCACATCCCTACTACTCCCCCACCCTCATCACCCCTACTTACGCCCACCCCCCTCATCAATTCCCTACTTACCCCACCCCTCATCACCCCTACTCTACCCCCACCCCTCACCACCTCTACTTACCCCCACCCCTCATCACCCCCTACTTACTCCCACCCCACCATCCCTACTTACTCCACCCCCTCACTATCCCTACTTCCCCCCACCCCTCATCACCCCTACTTCTACCCCCCACCCCATCACTCATCCCAACTTCTACCCCAACCCCATCACCCCTACTTACTCCACCCCCTCATCACCCCTACTTACCCCACCCCCCTCATCACCCCCTACTTCTCCCCTTGGACCCCTCATCACCCCCTACATTTCTACCCCACCCCTCACTCCAGCATCACCCCTACTTTCCCCCCCCCCTCATCACCCCCTAACTTACTCCCACACCTCTAACCATCCCTACTTAATTCCCACCCCCTCATCACCCCACTTACCCCAAGCCCTCATCACCCCCCTACTTACCCCACCACCACCACCCCTCATCACCCCTACTTACCCCCACCCCTAACCATCCCTACTTACCCACCCCTCATCACCCCTACTTTACCCCCACCCCCTCACCAACTCTACTTACTACCCCATCATCACCCCTACTTACTCCCAACCCCTCACCATCCCTATTTCTTACCCCACCCCTCTCACTCATCCCTACTACTCCCCACCCCCCATCACCCCTACTTTACTCCCCCCCCCACCATCCCAACTTACCCCACCCCCATCACCCCCACTTCTACTCCCCACCCCTCATCACTCCCTACTTCACCCCACCCCCTCACCACCCCCTACTTTCCCCCACCCCCTCATCACCCCTACTTACCCTCACCCCCTCACTCACTACCCCTACTTTCCCCACCCCTCATCACCCCTACTTCTACCCCACCGCCCCCTTAACTGCCTCCCTCCCCTCTCCCCTCGATCTTCACCACTTCCCTCCTCGATGGCGGTGAGGTAGCCTAGTGGTTAAAACGTTCGCTCGTCACGCCGAATAAAATGGATAAAATGTGTGGTGGTGGTGGTGGAATTAACGTCGTGCTTGAGAATATTTCGCTCATATGACGACGTGCATGCGTGTGTATATGTATGTGCGGGTGCTTGTACTAGCCCAGACTGAAGCTGGTTTTATAGTGCTAGCCAACTGTGATACCATGCCGCAGTGAAGCATGAATACCCCACTCAGACACATTATACTGACTCCGAGCCGACCAGTCCTTGATGTACCCATTAATGCCGAGCGCCAGGCAGGAACCAACAAGTACCATATTTTAACGTCTTTTGGTATGACGCAGTCGGGGATCGAACCCGCGATCTTCCGCACTCCAGGCGGACGCTCTAACTACTACACCACGGAGGCGGTCGGATAAAATGTGTGAAGCCCACTTCCGGTGTCCCCCGCCGTGATATTGCTGGGATACTGCTAAAAGCGGCATAAAACTAAACTCACTCACTCGCTCACTTCCCTCGTCGATACTGACTCATCACCTCCCTATGTAGATCTCACTCTCCCCATCCCTCCAGAACCCTCCCTCCCCGCCTTTGAACGCTTCCTATTCTGACCCTTTAAAACACCCTTCACTAACCATCGCTCCATCCTTACCTACCCACACCTAAACCCATCCTTTCCTACACTTCCCTATCAACCCATCCTTTTATTTCCCTATCCGAACCCCACCCTCTCTGTGCCTTATCTGAGCCCCCACCCTTCCCTGTACAACCCAAAGCCCACTTTTCTGTCCCTTGCCCGACACCCATTCTTCCCTGCCCACTCCTAAACCCACCCTTGTCCGACGCCCATCCTTCCCTGCCCACTCCTAAACCCACCCATGTCCGTAAACCCACCCTTGTCCGACGCCCATCCTTCCCTGCCCACTCCTAAACCCACCCTTGTCCGACACCCATCCTTCCCTGCCCACTCCTAAACCCACCCTTGTCCGACACCCATCCTTCCCTGCCCACTCCTAAACCCACCCTTGTCCGACGCCCATCCTTCCCTCTGCCCACTCCTAAACCCACCCACCCATCCTTTCCCTGCCCACTCCTGTCCGACACCCATCCTTCCCTGCCCACTCCTAAACCCACCCTTGTCCGACACCCATCCTTCCCTGCCCACTCCTAAACCCACCCTTGTCCGACACCCACTGCCCATCCTTCCCTGCCCACTCCTAAACCCACCCTTGTCCGACGCCCATCCTTCCCTGCCCACTCCTAAACCCACCCTTGTCCGACACCCATCCTTCCCGACACCCATCCTTCCCCTGCCCACTCCTAAACCCACCCTTGTCCGACGCCCATCCTTCCCCTGCCCACTCCTAAACCCACCCTTGTCCGACACCCATCCTTCCCTGCCCACTCCTAAACCCACCCTTGTCCGACACCCATCCTGTCATCCTGCCCACTCCTAAACCCACCCCTCCCGACACCCATCCTTCCCCTGCCCACCCTAAACCCACCCTTTGTCCGACGCCCATCCTTCCCTGCCCACCCGTCCTGGCCCGACACCCATCCTCCCCTGCCCACTCCTAAACCCACCCTTGTCCGACACCCATCCTCCCGGCCCGACACCCCCCTGCCCACTCCTCGCCCACTCCTAAACCCACCCCTTGTAACCCACCTGCCCACCCTAAAACCCTCACCCACTTGTCCGACACCCATGCCCACTCCTAAACCCACCCTTGTCCGACGCCCATCCTTCCCTGCCTAAACCCACCCTCTGTCCGACAAACCATCCTTTCCCTGTCTACTCCTAAACCCACCCATGTCCGTGCCAAAACTGACACTCTGTTGCCATGATTTCATTTTTGACTTCGATAATTGGTCAACAATTCACTTGGTCACTCTGTTCTTAACCCACCTTTGTCCGACACCCATCCTTCCCTGCTGACGTCTAAGTCCTCACTTTCCCACCCTTGTCCGAAATCCATCTTTACCTCCCCATTTTTAAAACCACCCTTTTCTATCCTTCCCTATTCTCCCATCAACCCACCATTTATGTTTCCTATCAGAACCCCATCCTTTCCCACCCTTGCCCCAAATCCATCCTTTCTCGCCCTTGACCGAATCCCTATCATTCCCTGCTCACCCTTTCTCTCTGTACCTAACTTGAAAGTCAACCTTACCCCTCCCGTCCCGAAACATACACCCTTTCCTTCTCCGGACTGAACCCCAGCTCCTCTATCCGATCCTCACCTTCCCCTTCCCTCCCCAAACTTTACCCACCCACCCACACGCCCATCCGCTTGGCCAAACAGCGGTGAATGGGATAGTATTACTTACCCGAGGTGAATAGACACACAGATTACTCGCCCAGTAATTCATTCAAGCCATTATTTCTAATTGCAGAGAGTAGGGAGAACCTGCAACAACGTGTTTTATTCGAGATGACTGTCCCGCTGGTAGTCACCATGCCATCTGTCCACATGTAAGGTGGCGCGCTTCTGCGCGAGCGAAATCGCGCTCAAAGCATCGCAGATGGCGTGATGGTTCCTCTTTTGTTTGTCCCAACTTCCTCCAACGTGCATTAGGGCCGACTGGTATTGTGATGTACATATAACACCGCACGTACGAGAGGAGGCCACATCAATTTCATAAGGTCGCGTCGAAAGATAGTGCTAACCTGACAAATACGAAGGATCGAAGCTTCTTGTGCGATCTTTTAATCAAATCTCGCATCTGGCGAGAAACAGCACCTAATTACCGCTCAACACACGACAATCTCATACAAGAACCGTTATAATCATATTTGCCATAGAAATAGTTACATCTAGTATTGTGTTATCTCATAACCGACTCTCGGCTGTGACAGTTATATCTTGTGTCGTATTATTTCAAAACTGACTCTCTGTTGCCATGATTTCATTTTTGACTTTGATAAATGGTCAACAATTCACTTGGTCACTCTGCTCCCTGGTGCGGATGACAAATGAAATGGTACGTTTTGTTGTGGTAAGATATAATGTTGCTTTTTTGTTTATTTTAATACGAACTAGTAGTAGCGAAAATACTTTTGTTTTTCTTTTTAATAATTTGATTTTAAACTCTCAAAAAATACAGACACTTATTTTGTTTTATTTGTTTTTAATAATTTGATTTTAAACTTTTTTTTAAATATAGACACTTTTTCACATAATACACAACTGGTGATTGATATCATGAGCATATTAAGAGTGATTAAATCAGTCAAATTTAGAATGGTAGGATTTCATAACTTACAATATTTTCATTCTTCATTAAATAATTTTTTTTTTTAAAACCCAATCCATCTTCAATAACCGTTATGAATCTGTTTGCAGCATTGTAAGGAAATGCTATGAAGTAAGTGAGTTCTCTTTTGTGTTAAAACGTCCGGTTTCTATGGTAATGGGTAAAGACTAACATCTAAAATTCTCACCAAAACAAAATACGACATTTGTCTCTATGTTTCACATTTAAAAAATCATATTAACCAAAAAGAATGTTTTTAATTGCCCGTAACTCAAAGTTCATTGCCATTTACATTTTCCCGGTCACCTGGCAAACACAGACAAAGGCCTTTGAAGTACTTGATTCATATTAACTGTGACTGCAAATTAACCTGAGATGAGTCTCCTTTTAAGTTCATGGGGATAAAAAGATTAGCCGTTGTGTCCTTGTCATACATTATCTCAACTGAAATGCCGCTATATGGTCTGTGTCCAAAGTGAGGAGCTGATTGAAATTAATGTTGAAACTTGAAGAAAATCAGTTTCGTGAAATGATAGTCATTTTATAATCGGCAGATTACGGCCGATTTTTAACAAAATGTGTAAATCAAAGAATGGAACTTGTATATGTTTGATAAATAGATTCTGCAGCATAGTTAATTACTGAACGAAAATCCTGTAAACAATAAAGAAGGCCTGAGTTAATGTTTTGTTTGGCGCCGCAGTAAAATACATTTAACGTGGCACAGATTTCGTTGACATTACACACTATCTTTATCGGTATCTATGACCATATTTAAAACCACGTCAGGTCGCTCACGTTTTCTCCTTTCATTTTGTTTCGTTTATTATCTTAAGGCAATCTGAAAATATTTATCTCGTTTTATCAGGTCGTTTTTACGACTAACTGGGCTGGAATAGGGGACTGTAGAATATATTTCCATTTTTTATTTAGATAGTTGCAAATGTATCTTGCGACCGCCTCCGTGGTGTAGTGGTTAGAGCGTCCGCCCGGAGAGTGGAAGGTCGCAGGTTCTATCCCCGGTCGCGTCATACCAAAAGACGTTAAAATATGGTACTTGTTGGTCTCTGTCTGACGCTCGGCATTAATGGGTACAACAAGGACTGGTCGGCTCGGAGTCAGTATAATGTGTCTGAGTGGGGTATTCATTCATGCTTCACTGCGGCATTGTATCTCAGTGAGCTAGCACTATAAAA